CAGTGGCCGCTCCCGGCCACCGCAGCCTCGACCGCTGGGCTCCGGCCATCTTTCCGCCTCAGCCTTCCGAGTAGCCGGAATTACAGGCGCGCGCTTCCATGCCCGGCTAAATTTTTTGATTTATTGTAGAGATGAGGTCTCGCCTGCCCAGGCGGGTCTCAATCCCGCAGGCTCAGGCAATCCACTCACCTCAGCCTCCCAAAGGCGTGGGATTACAGGCTGAGCCACCGAGCCCAGCTCAGAAGGCTTAGTTAAAAAATGTCTAAAGGCGTCTACAGAGAAAGAAAGAACAGCATAGGACTAACATTTCCCCCTTTGAAACTAGATCTAGCCCTGAAAAGTGACCATTATGTGAATGAGAGGAACAAAGAGGGTGACCAGAGGCCAGGGGATTCTGTGATGGAATGACTGAGTTCGTCCCCTTAAAATAAGTTTATAGTTGGAGGCCTTGTGGGTTCAAAGCACGGACATTAAAGATAGTGACAGTGCTTAGTCTTGTTCAGAACTTATTTTGTTTAACCGCAGCTCCATCAGAAAAGGGGAATGAGAATGAATCTCTGCAATTTACCCACCTACAAGGGGGGACCCCCCCCAAAACACCAGAATTTACTAATTAAAAATTGTGCGTTTATTCTTACATGTTACATGGCAGTCACCTTGAAAGTTATTCTTCTGCTGAGCTCGGTGGCTCAGCCTGTAATCCCACACCTTTTGGGAGGCTGAGGTGAGTGGATGACCTGAGCCCGTGGGTTTGAGACCCGCCTGGGCAGCGAGACCTCATCTCTACAATAAATCAAAAATTCAGCCGGGTGTGGTAGCGCATGCCTGTAATTCCAGTTACTTGGAAGGCTGAGACGGAAGGATCGCCAGAGCCCAGCAGGTCGAGACTGCGGTGGCCGGGAGCGGCCACTGCACTCCAGTCTGGGCGACAGAGTGAGACTCCAACTCAAAAAAGAAAAAAGAAAGTATTCTTGCTGGGCTCGGTGGCTCAGCCTGTAATCCCGCGCTTTGGGAGACTGAGGTGAGTGGATTGCCTGAGCTTGCGAGTTCGAGACCTGCCTGGGCAACTTGGCGAGACCTCATCTCTACAATAAATAAAAAAATCAGCCGGGCTCGGTGGCTCAGCCTGTAATCCCGTGCCTTTGGGAGGCTGAGATAAGTGGATTGCCTGAGACCGCAGGTTTGAGACCTGCCTGGGCAGCGAGACCTCATCTCTACAATAAATCAAAAAATCAGCTGGGCATGGTAGTGCATGTCTGTAATTCCGGTTACTGGGAAGGCTGAGGCGGAAGGATCGCCGGAGCCCAGCAGATCGAGGCTGTGGTGGCCAGGAGCGGCCACTGCTCTCCAGTCTGGGTGACAGAGTGAGACTCCAACTCAAAAAAAAAAAAAAATCAGCTGGGCATGGTAGTGCACACCTGTAGTTCCGGCTATTTGAAAGGCTGAGTTGGAAGGATCGCCTGAGTCCAGCAGGTCGACACTAGGGTGGCCATGAGTATGCCACTGCACTCTAGCCTGGGTGACAAAGTGAGACTCTGACTCAAAAACAACAACAGCAAAAAATCTGACAAAGGCCTAACATCTAGAATCTACAAGGAACTCAAATGCGCCGAAAGGAAAAAAACAAATAGCCCCATTAAGAAGTGAGCAAAAGACATGATTAGACAATTCTCAAAAGAAGATATATGGAAAGCCAACTAACACATGAAAAAGTGCTCAGACTCATTCATCATCAGAGAAATGCAAATCAAAACCACATTGAGATACCACCTAACGCCAATAAGAATGGCCATCATTAATAAAACAAACAACAGATGCTGACGAGGATGCGGAGAAAAAGGAATGCTTCTACACTGCTGGTGGGAATGCAAACTAGTGCAACCTCTTTGGAAAACGGTGTGGTAATTTCTAAAAGTACTAGACATTGACCTTCCATATGATCCAGCAATTCCCCTATTGGGAATATACTCAGAGGAACTTAAATCATTCTACAAAAAAGATACCTGCACAGGTATGTTTGTTGCAGCTCTATTCACAATAGCAAAAACATGGAACCAATCATGTTGCCCATTGAAGCTGGACTGGATAAAGAAAATGTGATACATATACACAATGGAATATTATGCAGCCATAAAGAAGGACAAACATATGGACTTTGCAGCAACTTGGATGGATTTAGAGTCGATCATACTCACTGATCTATCACAGAAACAAAGAACAGAGTACCACATGTTCCCACTCATAAGTGAACCTTGAACAATTATAATACTATAAGAAAGGGATTGGCAGTAGTGGGAAACTGTCAGGGGAGCGGGGGTGGGATTGGCAGTTGAGGGAAACAGCTAGGGGAGGGAGGAGCATATCTCATCAACAAGGGTATCTGCATAATCAATGTTTATATGCCTAACCTTGAATTGTTTCCCACATCTTTATATTTAAAAAAATAAAGAAAAAAATCAACAGCAGGAAATAAAAAAAGATGTGTATCTTTAAATTCTGTCCAATGGAAAGATCTAGAGGCAATTAAAACCCAATAACAGTGATCACCTTGACACCCAGATTGTGGTCTCTACACACCATTTTCTACTAAAAAGTGCTAGAGTTCCATGGATAAACGACTAATTCCAGATCTGGGGTAGGAAATAAAAGACAAACCTAGGACATTAAGGAGGCAAACTATCGCCTATTAAAGGGATCATACCAAAAGGACACGGGAGCTGACCTGAAGGGAAAAATTCCTAACACGGAACAATTTGGGTATCAAAAAGAACAATGTGATTGACTGATATATAGCAATGTATACTCAATACTCTAAAAGGTATCTAATAAAGAGAAAGAATGAAATATTTATCCTGCCATTCTTATGTGAACTATATTTCAGAATAACTAAATAGTAGATGTGGAAAATTTCTTCTTTATAGAAAAGCAGGGAGAATGATAGAATTATAAGATCACCATTTTCCACACCCTAATAGCCTAGGCTGTGATGATCAGGGATGTGTGCTAAAATTTAACTTGGTAAAAAGTTGTTAGGAAATTTTGGATGGGCTGACAACTTGTGAGTCCCCAACCAGTGTTAGCATAACTAAAACTGGACCAAGAAGACATGAAGTGCTTCCCAGATGTGATGCATTGGGAAATACACGGTACTACCCATTAAGTCTTCTTCTAGTCAAGTTAAAACTTAATCTATTCAAGTCTCTAGATCACCAGCTCCTATGAAGTAGGAAAAACAAGGGTTAGAGGAACAAGTTAAATGTTACCATGATGAAGCAATCAGTCAAAACCAAAGTACGGACAAATGACCAAGTTTCTTCCATAGATAAGTGGTATTAAAAAGAAGAAGAAGAAAGTCAGAAAAGAAAGAAGGAATTATTACAGATTTTAGAAGTCATAACAATCAAATACAGTGTGTGGACTTGGCTTGGTTCCTGATACAAACAAATAAAGCATATCAAGAGAGTTGAGAAAGTTAAGAAAATCTGAGTATTAATTGATGTTAAGGAGTCATTATTCTGTTAGGTTTGATAGTGGCATTGAGGTAATGTGAAAAAATATAAAACTCTTATTTGTCACAAATATATGCAGAATTATTTCCAGGTAAAATGATATTATGTCTTTTTTTTTTAATCTCTCCCCATATCTAACACCATGTTGAACATATAAGAAGCATTTAAGGCAGGGCACGGTGGCTCACACCTGTAATCCCAGCACTTTGGGAGGCAGAGGTAAGAGGACTGCCTGAGCCCAGGGGTTCGAGTCCAGCCTGGGCAACTTGGCAAGACCTCATCTCTACATTAAAAAATTAGTTGGAGCCGGGCTTGGTGGCTCAGCCTGTAATCTTGCGCATTGGGAGGCTGAGGTGAGTGGACTGCCTGAGCCCGCGGGTTCGAGACCCGCCTGGGCAACTTGGCGAGACCTCATCTCTACAATAAATTT